TTTATAAAGTGGAGCAGGCTGGATGCGTGGGAGCAGCAGGTCAGGTGGAGCGGCTCTGTCTCCCCCTCCTGTCCTCACCGCCAGCCCGCCGCTGCCTCCTTCTCCTTCATTATTTTCGCCTCAGCTTCTCGCAGTTTAAAATGGCGGCGTTGAGCAGCGCCGAGTCTCCACCGCCCGTCTTCAACGGAGACGCCACGGAGCGGGAGAGCGGCCTGGAGGAGCTGGGCCCGGGTTTGGACTCTTCGTGCTCGTCGGCGGTTCACGGAGGTCCGCAGGAAGAGGAGGTAAGCGCTGCGGCGGCGCGGGGTGAGGACTTAGCCCGCTTGGTGTGGAGCTAATGGGATGGAAACGTCCAGGAAACACCGGCTGGGGAGGGGGATGCTAACGGTGGGTGCGGGACCAGAAACGGAACCTGCACGGTCCGTTTGGGTCCCGGTGAGGCAGCGAGATGCAGCGGCAGAGAGAGAAGTTTCCTCCGGAGGAGTCAGTGTTTATGTGGGGCCTGCTTTATCCCAGCTGCTGCTTCTCCAGCCGGGAAGCGCAGCCGCTGCTCACCCCGCTGACTGCGGAGACCTGTGCATTGTGAGTGCAGAGGGCTTCATCTGATCCAGATGCTTCACGGCTGATGGAGGCTAGCTGAAGTCGTGCTTCTTGTTGGCCGCATTTGCTCCTTCCTAAACACCATGGGTTTTTTTTTCTGTCCCAGCTGCAGGAAGAGCGTCTGATCAGGAAGCATCAGGCCTGTCCTTCCCTTCCAGACAGCTGCCTGCTCTATAAACACAGCTCTAGATCATCAACCAGGAGGCTATGGACACTTTAGCAAACCAAAGCTATCTAGGATTTATTTTCTAAGCTTTTATAGATCCTTGTCCTGTTTTAGTAGAGAGGAAGACTGTCAGACTTTAGCATAAAGTTGTGCAGCTTTTATAAGTTGCTGTCTGAATGTTGGGGCCTTGTTTGGAGGCTCAGTCAGCTTCAACATGTCTGGGCCCCAAATTCTAGTCAGTTTATTTCTATAGC